CATAGTTCATCAGGAACTCTGTCTATGGACAGAGGTTCATGACGTTGAACAGGAGGCAGGGATCAAGACCATCCCCAAGGGAAAGAAATACAAAAAGGCAAAATGGTTGTCTGAGGACTCCTTACAAATAGCTGTGAAAAGAAGAGAAGCAAAAAGCAAAGGAGAAACGGAAAGATATTTCCATTTGAATGCAGAGTTCCAAAGAATAGCAAGGACAGATAAGAAAGCTTTCCTCAGACATCAATGCAAATAAGTAGAGGAAAACAACAGAATGGGAAAGACTAGAGATAGATTCAGGAAAATTAGAGATACCAAGGGAACAGTTCCTGCAAAGATGGGTTCGATAAAGGACAGAGATGGTATGGACTTAACAGAAACAGAAGCTATTAAGAAGAGATGGCAAGAATACACAGAAGAACTGTACAAAAAAGATCTTCATGACCCAGATAATCAACATGGTGTCATCACTCACCTAGAGCCAGACATCCTGGAATGTGAAGTCAGGTGGGCCTTAGAAAGCATCACTACCAACAAAGCTAGTGGAGGTGATGGAATTCCAGTTGAGCTCTTTCAAATACTGAATGATGGTGCTGTGAAAGTGCTCTACTCAATATGCCAGCAAATTTGGAAAACTCAGCAGTGGGCACAGGACTGGAAAAAGTCAGTTTTCATTCCAATCTCAAAGAAAGGCAATCCCAAAGAATGCTCAAACTACCGCACAATTGCACTCATCTCACACGCTAGTAAAGTAATGCTCAAACTTCTCCAAGGCAGGCTTCAGCAATATGTGAACCATGAACTTCCAGATGTTCAAGCTGGTTTTAGAAAAGGCAGAGGAACCAGAGACCAAATTGCCAACATCTGCTGGATCATCAAAAAAGCAAGAGAGTTCCAGAAAAACATCTATTTCTGCTCTATTGACTATGCCAAAGACTTTGACTGTATGGGTCACAATAAACTGTGGAAAATTCTGAAAGAGATGGGAATACCAGACCACCTGACCCACCTCTTGAGAAACCTATATGCAAGTCTGGAAGCAACAGTGAGAAGTGGACATGGAAAAACAGACTGGTTCCAAACAGGAAAAGGAGTACCTCAAGGCTGTATATTGTCACCCTGCTTATTTAACTTATATGCAGAGTATATCACGAGAAACGCTGGGCTGAAAGAAGCACAAGCTGGAATCAAGATTGCCGGGAGAAATATTGATAACCTCAGGTATGCAGATGACACTACCCTTATAGCAGAAAGTGAAGAGGAACTAAAAAGCCTCTTGATGAAAGTGAAAGAGGAGAGTGAAAAAGTTGGCTTCAAGCTCAACATTCAGAAAACTAAGATCATGGCATCTGGTCCCATCACTTCATGGGAAATAGATGCGGAAACAGTGGAAGCAGTGTCAGACTTTATTTTTTGGGGCTCCAAAATCACTCCAATGAGCTCGACTGGTATACTTCCTGATTAGGATGTGATTTGGTTTCAGAAATTGCCTTCTCAAACCATCCAGTGCCACCGCAGCCTCTCTGAATATTCGGCTACTGAGCAGGATTTTCTCCAAACCTGTCTGGTCTCAAGGCCACAATGTGAGCCTGCGGACCTCCACTCCCCTTCCCGTTTCTCTGAACCAGATGTGCACTCCAGCCCCCTGGCCTCCACCCCCGACAGAGGGCTCCTGTTGAATCCCACCCCCACCCCTGCGCTTTCTCCTGCTGGAGACCCGCTCCCAGGCTAGGGTCCACGGTAGAGACCCTAGGCTGGACATCAGGCAGATCCCGCCAAAGAAACAGACCATCCACTGCACCGCATGTTCTTATATCTTTATTTTACTCTGGTATCAGATTTCAATTTTTTTTTTTTCTTCCCGTTGTAGATGGAGGTCACCACGGGTTGCGGGAGTGGGGCATGGACAGGGTGTTTGGGGATGCGAGGAGAAGGAGTCTCACGGGTTGGATTCAGAAATAAGAATGTGAAGCGGAGAACGTGGCGATGTAGCCATCTGCAGCCCTTCACGTGGAGCATTCGTGAGGCATGAGGCTTCCCATTTCAAAGAAAACTGAAGATTCAGCAGACTTACAAGCTATTGCTTTGGAGGGAAAGGAAGGCTCACATGTCAGGCAAATCCCAGTGCACAGATCGGTACCCTAGGTGCAGGGAGGAGGACACCTTCCAAGGCCCGAACCTGGGCTCTTGTCTACCACTCAGAAATGAATTGTCCCAGGAGACACACTTGCCGACAAAGCAGGAGATCATCTTGGGAGAGGGCACCCGGGTGCAAAGCCGTAGGGGAAGGAACCCAGGAGAACAGCTCTGTCACACGGCCTGCTGTCTTGGGTTTGATGGTGATGGGATTAGTTTCCGGGTTGTCTTTAGCCGATCATTCTGACTCAGAGTCCTTCTGGTGGTGCACGCCTTCTTCAGCCCAGATGGATGCCAGAGAGGAGGATTCTGGGAGGTGGTCGGACATGTGGTGTCTCCTTTGGACCTTTCCCAAACTCTTCCTGTTGGTGGAGGCTCATTAGTCCCGTGTTCCTTGCCAGAGCCTCCTGTCATAAAACAACTCACGGCAATGGTTACTAGGTGCCCGGCCAGGGTGGAGTCAGTGCGCTTCCCCTAACACCCTGACCACCTGCACCATCTCTACTTAGCTGCAGAGGAAAGACTCAGCAAGCAGCTGAGGAAAGCTGACCAGTCCTGGTTAGAACAAGGTGAGCCGTCTTTGCCAGAAGACCGCCAAGGTCCCACAGAACAGGCTTTGTCTGAAGGACATTGTAGCACTGAACGGCTTCCGCCAGAAGGACACTGTAGCAGTTGAATATACTCTGTGAAATGTTCCAAAGAAGAAGAGAACGACAAATAAGAGGCACAGGAAGCATATGAGCAAGCTACCCCTGCTGCGCTGCGAAGAAAGAACAACTTGAGAGGCAGAAACAGGAGAGAGGAGAGGCTCCAAGGCTCTCCAAAAACAAGAAAATGCAAGTGCTCATAATGTGGAGCCAAAACACTCATAGTAGCCAGACAAATGCAAAATCACAAATGGAGTATTTTCTAAGAAAATACAGGAGAAGAATTAATGGAAAAACAGGGTACAAATATCTACTTGCTGTTGAGTACTTTTGTATAGGGGCTGTACCTCCTAACATGTAACTAGATTTGTCAACATAAACTGGCTTGTGAAGGGATAGGATAGAGGGAAAAAAAAAAAAGGTGTAGAAGTCATGCCGTTTTCAAACAGTTTCAATTCTCGGCCAGAGTTCAGTTGATCAGTTTCCTGGAGATGCGCCAAAGACGTCAAGGATCATTCAACAAAACGTTTCCAAGTCTCTTCAAAAGTCGTTTAAACCCGATTTCTACCTATTGCTTCATCAGGTTCTTTCTGAAAGCAATACAACATCTTGGGTGCAATGGAAACGAGAATCCACGTTCTCGTAGCACCAGCAATCTTTCTTGAGAGAAAGCTCAAAATAGGTTGAGTTGCATGCAGAAAAATCTGTTTAATAAATTCCTTTGTCACGTTTTGGTACGGTAATTCATTTGGCAGAAAGGGCATCGTCTTGCCCTCGAGATAAGCCCACACAGTGTGGCTTAGAAATCGCAGGAGTAGGTCTTGCATGAAGGAAGTCATTCTTACTATGTCGCAAAACATAACGAATATCTCGTTGCTTTCGGTCAGGCTGTGCCTGCGTCTTAATTCCTAGAGGTGCCTCAGTGGCTCTGCACAGAGCCCGGTGTCATTACAAACAGAAGCTGAACGTGACTCAGGGCTCTCCCAGTGAGGAGAGGCACCGCGCAGGGCGCAGGGACCCAGGGGAAGCGCCAGGTTTGAAAGAGCTTGTGGCCTCTTGAAGGGGGCGTGTCTAAGGCGGAGCTGAGAGCTGCTGGTTTTCAGAAGAGGCGGCAGGAAGTGGCGAGTGGGGTGGCAGCTTGGCTCAATATCTGCTCAATACCGGTGTTTGAAGACCCCGGGTGTGTTTGGAGCTCTGGAGGTGGTCTCTGAGAGCCAGGGACCTGGACGGAGGGGAAATTTTGGCTAGGTGTGTGAAAATCAAATATGGAGGTGCTTCTGTCTCCATAGAGCTGAAAAAGCTTGCTAGGGCTAGAGTGGTTGCACCCATCAGAAGCCGTGCAGTGACTCCAGATGGCGGGAGATTCTTTTCCCAAAGCTGCTTTAGTGCAGGAGTCTCTGAGGGCCCTGACTGGCCTGTCTGTTGACTCTTAACTTGGAAGGAAAATGTGTAAACGACCACTGGGTTGCGTCAGAACCCCAGGAAAGGACTAGAAGGTGTGAGATGTCTGTGTCCTTAGCACAGGAAAGGTGCTTCCACTGCATCTCCTTGAAGGCGGATGTCATCCTGTAGCCTCACACGGCTGCCGAGAGAAGTGTGGAGTTTGGCTGCTCCCCATTTAAAACAGTAGACCAGCCAGGTTGGTGGAAAGGAAAGTTTGCCCTATTTCAGATGCCAGCAGGTCAGGGGGAGGATGGTGGACACCTGTCCAAAGGCCGACTTACTGCTCCGCGACCCAAGCACTTAGTGGCAACCAGTAGGGCAAGAGGTTTTCCAGCCAGAAATGTGAGGGGGTCGCTATGTGCAGAAATAGCAGAGTCATCTGCCATATTTTGTAAATAGAAAACAAAGAGAATTCGTTAAGACTCGTTATCTGACTAACCAAGGTTAAAAATATCTACTTGCTATTGAGTAATTCCTATATTGACTGTCCCTTCTAACAGGTAACAATTTTTATCATAAATTGCATTCCAAAGGAAAACAGTGGCAGCTTATGTCCTGGGTGCAGTCTGAGCATCATGTAATTAACATCTCCACTTGGTGCTTTGGTATCTATAAGCTGGCTCATGGGATATGACTCAGAATATTATCTATAGCCCTTCAGAATCAACTAAATGTCCTTGACTGTACTTAATGACTATGTCATTATTATTTAGTCTCCTTTGACTGTTTTCCTTTGCTTTCCCATCTCTCACTTCTTTGATTGCAGTCATTCTTTGACTAAAGTTTTCCACAGACAGAAGTCAGGCAGGTACATGGTAGGGAATGGGGCGCAAGGACCTTAGGGTCCTGCTCCTGTTTGAATACCTGTGCTCCTGGAGAAAGGGGGATGCAGCTAAGACATTGTCTGCCCAGAGGGTGTGCAGTGGAGATGGTGGGCCCTTGGGTACCTGTGGGAAGCCTGGAAAGGGGGATTTGTGTCCTTTTGGGAGTGGAGGCAATCTTAGATGAGAGACTGTTGACATAGGCACTGAACAAAACAAAACATGTGCCAATTGTTGACTGAACAGAATTAGTTGTTTTCATAATATTTGATGTTGGGTCTGAGGGCTCTAATAGATGAAGCCACAGTATTATTAGTAGTCATCCAGTATGGAATGGCCTAAATTTGTTGCCAAATATTCAGCTATGCAAGGTTCGGCTGTCAAATGGAGAAGTGGGGATGATCACCCCTTTAGTAATTAGGGTTTTAGAAAATTTTCATCTTTGAAGACTATGTTTTCATTTACTTTGGAGCACATTAACTGTTTTAACTGTGGGGGGAGGGTCCCTAGGATGTTGTTTTAGGAAACCAATTCACAATCAGGAGAAAATTGGTTTAATTTTAATATATGTTACAGTGTCTCTGCCCATAAAGGATATTTTAAAACAATGGCTAGTATGACTATGGGAAATTTAGGGCAGGCATCGGTTAAAGTGAAACATTATATTCTTCTCTTTTATATGTAGTTGAGCTTCCCTGGTGTCTCAGATGGTAAAGAATCTGCCTGCAATAGAGTAGATGGGGTTCCATCCCTGGGTTGGGAAGATCCCCTGGAGAAGGGAATGGCCATCACTCCAGTGTTCTTGCCTGGAGAATTCCATGGACAAAGGAGCCTGGAGGGCTACAGTCCATGAAGTTGCAGAGAGGTGGACACAACTGAGCAACTAACACTTTAACTTTTCGTGTGTAGTTACCTGCATTGCCAGCAGATTCTTAACCACTTAGTCCACTAGGGAATCCCCAGATGTCTTTTTATCCAAAATATTTCTGCAAACACTTGGACACACAAAACTCCTCATATATACTATTTATTAAGACAGGATCACACCTGGGTATGAATGTGGCTCTGACTTCTGGGCTTTTATTTGTAAAAGCATGAGGCAATCCAAACATCAGGGTCTCTTACTGGTAAAGAATGAGTGACTGGATGTAGCGGGGGTGGGGGGCAAGCTTGCAGTCAACGCTGATGACAGCTATTCTCTCCAGGCTCGAGTGCCCTGAAGTTACAACCCCTAAAACTCTCAGAGTGCATTTAGTGCAGTGAAAGTTGCTTCAGTTGTGTCCAACTCTTTGCAACCCCATGGACTCTAGCCCCCCAGGGTCCTCTGTCCGTGCACTTCTCCAGGCAAGAATACTGGAGTGGGTTGCCATTCCCTTCTCCCTGACCCAGGCATTGCATTTCAGGCAGATTCTCTATCATCTGAGCCAGTGAACTTAAAGTATGTCTAAATGACTCAGCCTTGGGGAAGATGAATAATCTCTGAAGAGCAGGGCTGCAGGCACTGACATTGGGCTCATTTAAATCTGGGCACATAGGACCTAGAATCCAGGAGGTTCCAGATGACCTCTGTGCTCACAAGGCTCCTGCTTTTCAGAGCTGTGTCTGATTCCCTCTGGGTAGATTCTGGGGAGAAAGGGCTTGTCTCTGATGAGGCTGGTATCCCTTCCCATATCCTCAGCATCCCCTTTCTCACCTACAGCTTCCTAGTCTCTGTCTCCAATCCCTGCCCACATTATGCCCTCCTGGGGCCCGTGTTGAGGCCTCCCCTAGCCTCAGTCTACTCTTTCCCATCCTGCCTATCATATTGTCTAGGCAGTCGACAGCCCTCCTCTGCTTGCTGAGCTCCTGATCAACCACATGCGAAAAGGCAGGACAGAAGTGGGAGCTGTCTGTGTTGCTGGACTGGATCAGCTCAGAAATCTTGCTAGGAAAGGAGGGCCCCAGGAAGGATTTACAAGGTAGATCACACTTGTGTTCTGTAGTGTTCTAGGTTGCTTCAACAGGACCGCCATGCCTGGACATGTGAGACCTTCTCCAGCAGGTGTGTTTGCTCCATCTCCAGCCCAGATTCTCACCCGAGTGGTCTAACCACAAATGAATGTTCCCCACCCTCATTTCCTGTTATTTCAATATTTTTTTTCCTGTGTTATTTTATTTTTTTGGTGCACTGGGTCTTTGTTGCTGTGTGTGGGCTTTCTCTCTGCTGTGAGTGGAGGCTACTCTCGATTGAAATGCTCACGCTTCTTGTTGTGGTGGCTTCTCTTGTTGCAGAGCACGGGCCCTAGGCAGGCAGGCTTCAGTAGTTGTGGAGCACGGGCTTAAATGCCCCAAGGCATGTGAAATCTTCCCGGACCAGGGATGGAACCCATGTCCCCTGCATTGGCAGGTGAACCATTAACCACTTGAGCACCAGGGAAGCCCTACATGTATCTTTCTTGTGACATGTAACTCTTCTTCATTTCAATGGTAGATTGAATCCTACTGCTGTTGTGTAACCACTAAGTTGTGTCTGAATCTTTTGTGACCCCATGGATTGTAACCCACCAGGCTCCATGAGATTTGCTAGGCAAGAACCCTGGAGTGGGTTGCCCTTATCTCCTCCAGGAGATCTTTCCAAGCCAGGGATCGAACCTGTGTCTCTTGAATTGGCAGGTGGGTTCTTTACCACTGAGCCACCGGGCAAGCCCAGGAGGACACTGAGGTGTACCAAAAAGGGACTCAGAGCCAGGCCAAGGGAGATGATTGGCTAAAGGAAATCCAGAAGAAATGCCCCATAAAAGTGATTCTAACTACCATGAGGCCCGAACCCCCACTCTTTCTGAGCCCTCTGGTGTGTCTATCCACAAGCACCCTTTCCCTCCTAATAAACACTTTGCTTGCTTCACCACTTTCCATCTCTAGGTGGAGATTCACCTCTACATAGATAATGAGTCAGGGTTTGTCACGGGCCATTCTCCCTGGTGGTCTAGTGGTCAGGATCCAGTGCTCTCCCTCCACAGCCCGACCTCGGTCTCTGGCCAGGAGCTGCAGCCCTGCTTCGAGTCACTGCAGGCCGAGGTCAGTCTCCTGCCTGGTTGTGTGCTGACCTCCTCCCCTGCTGGGCTGAGGCTCCAGCCGGGCACAGGACAGGGGAAGGGCCAGGTCTGGAGGAGCGAGGGCCAAGGGATCGGAGCCCCCTGGGGCCGAGGGCTGGGGAGGTGTTCAAAGGGCACATTCTGGAGGGGAGTCAGAGGGGCTCAGTGGGGGGCGCAGGGGTAGCGCTGTGGCCCAGACCCGGGAGCTCGGAGGCCAGTTCCTAATCTGAGCAGAGGGGCTCTGGTGATCTTGAGAGAAGTTGGGGGTGCACAGGACCCAGACGCCAGTCTTCAAGGGACTGAACAGGGTCAGAGCGGAGGGAAGGCGAAGCTCTTGTGAACCCTTAAGGAAATGCATTATTGTGTTAGGGGACTTATCAGTGTGGGATGTTTATGACCAAGATTTCAGTTTGCTTATGATTGATACATCCCAGCTCTGCCTGCCTGACCAACAAGACTTATTTGAACCCGGAGAGACATCACTAGCATGATGATAACAGTGTTCAGGAGACAAAGATTACCCAGCTTGCCTTCCTGTATTGGTTCCTCCACTGCAAGAACCAGGAAAAATACAGAAACCAAATATTTGCTGTTATCGGCAACGCACAAATGTTACCTTCCTGCCTGTGTGCCTGTTCAGTCGTTCTTTGTGACCCTTTGGACTGTGGCGCCCCCCAGGCTCCTATGTCCATGGGATTTCCCAGGGAAAAATCCTGGAGTGGCATGCCATTTCCTACTCCAGGGGATCTTACCGATCCAGAGACCAGACTCAAGTCCCCAGCATGTCCTGCATGGCAGGCATATTCTTTACCGCTGAGCCACCCTGACAACATATAGACTTCACCCTAAAGAAATGAAGGGCATCTGAACTCTCCTGTTTCTGGGCTGACTTCCTTCTCCTGGAGGGCTGAGATTCCAGTCAGGGGCAGACCAGGGGAAGGGCCAGATTGTAACCAAGAAGGACCCACTGAGGCTTTCCCAGAATAAACCCCCAGTCAAGCCCTCCACCAGCCTTTTGTCTGTAGAAAATCTTTCACCAAATAATCCACGTAGGGGCTTCCCTGGCAGTCTGTTGGCTAAGACTCCACCAGTCAAATTCATGGGGTGAAGGCAGGATCCAGGTATGGGAACAAAGATCCCTCATGCCTTCTGGCGAGGTTGTGGGGGAAAAAAAAAGGATAAATTTCATCAGAGTAGTAAGAACATCCTGAAGGGGAAAATATCAAACAAGACAAAATAATAATACTTGCGCCATCAAACAAAGTCAAGGACTTTTCTTCCTCCAGTTCTCTGGATAATATTCTGTGCCTTATGTGTGAGCTATTTTGCAGTTACCGATACCCCCACCAGGCTGAAGAAGTTAACTGCTGCCCACAGCAGGTATACCCCAGACTGGTTGCAACAAGAAGGTTGATGCTGCAGCCTCCCCACTACCTCAACACCAGCCAGGGCGCCATAAACACTAACAACTCCACATACCTGCTCTAGGCTGGGACTCATGGTCTTGGGGGCACTAGGCCAATGTGGCCCAATTTTCCTAGCAAAGGAGTAAAGCTCTTTCTTTCTACCTCACCCCAAATTCTTTCTTACAGACTTCACTCTGCCTTGGTGTGCAGAGGCTGAATTTTGGTAACAAATTTGGAGTCCTGTGTGGGGTTGGCTTAGGGGTGACCCCACGGGTGAACCCTGGCTCCATCACACTCTCTAGAGTTTTCCTCCATGCAGCCTCTTTCCAGAAGTTTGGAACGGTGGGAAGATTCCTTCAGAGGCCTGATCCCAGAAGACCCGTGTCAAGAAGGCTGAGCCCAAGTCGTGCTCGGGGACACCAAGGGGGTAGAGGGGAAAGAGGAAGGGCCGCCCTAGAGGGTGGGGAGGCCACCTTCGCCTCAAGGATGTTCCTCTCTTCCTCCAGCCCATGCTGGCTTGAATGTGGTGCTCCAAGGAATTATTTTGAGGAAGCAGACAGACAATGTCTGGGACACTGAGACATCTTGGTCAGCATCTGGGTGAGTTCCCCGCTATGTATCCAAGGCTCCTTCAACATGTCCATCTGAGGAACATTTGTTTCCATCTGGGGAACGCTGAGTGCCTGTCTGGTTAGTTTTTATGTTGGAAATCCCATGTGTGAGGTCTAAGGACTAAGGTCATGGACGTGGCAGGAACTGGAAGCAGCCACTCTGAGCTTTATGCTTTCTGGTGTCTCTCCCCTGGTATCAGATTTCCATCAGCTAATGAGGTCTGGTTTGTATTTGGCTCATGGGTGTCTGTTAGAAAATGGGAAATGCTCCTTTGATTCCCTCTGATATCCTCCTAGGACACATTTTGGAAGACTAGTCAACCTATGGAGAAGGCAATGGCACCCCACTCCAGTACTCTTGCCTGGAAAATACCATGGACAGAGGAGCCTGGTAGGCTACAGTCCATCGGGTTGCCAAGAGTTGGAAATGACTGAGCGACTTCACTTGAACTTATCACTTTCATGCATTGGAGAAGGAAATGCAACCCACTCCAGTGTTCTTGCCTGGAGAATCCCAGGGACAGCAGAGCCTGGTGGGCTGCCGTCTGTGGGGTCGCACAGAGTCGGACATGACTGAAGTGACTTAGCAGCAGCAGCAACAGCAGCAGTCAACCTACAGGTTTAAACCTATCAACAAGGACAAAATAGTTTAACACTATGGAGTCACAATATTCTTTAGACTTCGGAGAAAATGGTTGAGATGAAACTCTTTTGAAATTTCAGAACTGGTTCCTTTTGCATGTGCAGTTGGAGAGAGATGGCTTGATAACACACTTTAGTTTTCTAGAACACTCACCCTGAGAGAACATAGATACTCCCAGGAGAAAAGTTGATGTTAAGCCTCACCATGTCCCTGAAGTATTAATACAAACACAGCCCACATGGCCTGCGTTTCAGCCTTGGCTTACTTAGAAGAATTGAAACCGAGTCGGGGGCAGGGGTGGAAGGAGGGAAGAAAAAGAAGACTTTGACCTCAAGTGTGTACATTTGACTATTCGCATTGTTTTTCATAAACTGACAAGTTTAAATGCAGTGCCTGATTCACGAAATGTAAAATGATGAAACAGATCTCTGCTCGTGTGTATGTCTCAGTGAGTGTCTTTATCTTTAGAAAATATTCCTGAGATTAACTTCTAAATGAGCTCTATTCCATTGACTTAAAGAAAAATAAGCACTTACAAATTTCTAAGAGTCACAAAATCTGAGAAATGTTCAATATTAAATCTCTGTCTGGTACTGACATCAGTTTAGCTTCTTTAATTATGTCTGATTACTAGAGGCATGAGATACCAACATTTAGCCTCAGCACCAACTTTCATTGTACCTAGTTCTACTGCTAGTAAGTAGGTCACACCTGTTGCAAAATGTGTCAGCATGAAAGTTCATTCACACTGATATATTGTCATAAATAACTGAGATCAATGGTATAAAGCCTTTAGGTAAGCTCTTTAAAAGAATTATATTTTGTTTTCCTGGATTCTTGGGAATTTATACCATTAGAGTTTTGTTAAATTAAGCTCAAGGATGAGAATTCATTGAAGATTTAAATCAATTTTAGATAAAATACTGAAACATTGAGTTCTGAACAAGTCTATGTTTACTTACCTTTGCCTTTTATGAAAAAACACTAAATATATTTCAGTTTCATAAGTAGATATCTTTTACCACATAAAGAAAAATTTTGCCATAAAATATGTATGTCTTATAGGGTATAAAATTTAATGTTGTTAAAGAAAATAAATTGTTTGTTTCTTGGTTTTAAGTTTTAAGGCACTATAGTATCATAAAGTAATTAGCCTCCAATGAATAAAAATAAATGGAAAAAAATAAAATAAAATAAAAAAATAAAATAAAATAAATTTAAAACTGCAATGTTTTAATATCTGCTAAAATATATAATAAATAATTAATATATAAAATATTACATATCAAATGATATAATATATAGCATAATAACATATAATAAAAGATTATGTAGTTATAAAGTATATATTATTTTATACAATATATTGATATTAATATATATTATAATCAGTTCAGTTCAGTTCAGTCGCTCAGCCGTGTCCGACTGTTTGTGACCCCATGAATCGCAGCATGCCAGGCCTCCCTGTCCATCACCAACTCCCGGAGTTTACTCAAACTCATGCCCATCGAGTCAGTGATGCCATCCAGCCATCTCATCCTCTGTCGTCCCCTTCTCCTACTGCCCCCAATCCCTCCCAGCATCAGGGTCTTTTCCAACGAGTCAACTCTTCGCATGAGGTCGCCAAAGTACTGGAGTTTCAGCTTCAGCATCAGTCCTTCCAATGAACACCCAGGACTGATCTCCTTTAGGATGGACTGGTTGGATCTCCTTGCAGTCCAAGGGACTCTCAAGAGTCTTCTCCAACACCATAGTTCAAAAGCATCACTTGTTCAGCGCTCAGGTTTCTTCACAGTCCAACTCTCACATCCATACATGACCACTGGAAAAACCATAGCCTTGACTAGATGAACCTTTGTTGGCAAAGTAATGTCTCTGCTTTTTAATATGCTATCTAGGTTGGTCATAATTTTCCTCCAAGGAGTAAGCGTCTTTTAATTTCATGGTTGCAATCACCATCTGCAGTGATTTTGGAGCCCCCCAAAATAAAGTGGGAAACTGTTTCCACTGTCTCCCCATCGATTTCCCATGAAGTGATGGGATCAGATGCCATGATCATAGTTTTCTGAATGTTGAGCTTTAAGCCAAGTTTTTCACTCTTCTCTTTCACTTTCCTCAAGAGGCTTTTTAGTTCCTCTTCACTTTCTGCATATCTGCATAAGGGAGGTGTCATCTGCATAACTGAGGTTACTGATATTTCTTTTATAATACATTAATATATATAATATAAATTATATGATTTAGATAAAATATACAATGTACATTTATAATATATATTATTATATATTATATAGTGTTGTCTATTATATATAATTTTAATATATTACTAATATATATTATATGCAATATTATATATTATATATAATCTGGTATATATATGTATTATACATTATAATTTTATATATAATTTATTATATAGTATAATATATAGTATATATAATTTCAACAAGATATATACTTTATATAATATAGTAATGTTTATTATCATTAATATATTAATTAAATATTAATAGAAAATTTGTTTTATATGAATGTATAAAATTTTAAGTTCATGTAAAAATTTTAAAATATAAATTTCATGAATTTTTATTTATATTAATATTTAATTAATATAGTATCATTATATTATACTAATGAAAGGTTGTTGCTGAATCACGCAAAGACGCTGGGGATTCTTGGCCTCCGGAGCAGAATTCAATCCAGGGCCAGAGACGAGGCTTGATCGCTCAGAGCTTTTGTGTAATAAAGTTTATTAAAGTATCAAAGGGATAGAGAAAGCTTCTGACATAGACATCAGAAGGGGGCAGACAGAGTACCCCCTTGCTAGCATTAGCCATGGAGTCATATACTCTCAAATTAGTTATTACAGTGAATCAAAAGAATGTCTGGAGGTTGTAAAGACCTCACCAGACCTTCCCCCCTAATTTACATTTTGAGATAACAGGATTAGCCAGGAGGTTTTTTTCCAGGGACTGTCCTCAAGCAAGATACATTATTGTTATATACTCCTAAGTAATGTAGAGGGAAAAATAGTTTGTCCTTTCTTCCTCCTTGAGAATTCCAGACCCCTCTCTCCTTGGGGACCCCTAGACTTCCTATCAACCTGCCTAGGAATTGACTCTCTCATTCCCCCCTTTGCTTTTAGGAGAATTATGTTGCCAAGGGAAAGGGGCGTCGTTTTCGTTCCATAACTACTTCCTGCTGTTTAGGGGCGTGGTCCCTAAGTTGTTGAGGCAACATATTCTCCTAACCCTCATATTGAGGGTCTCTGATCCAGGGGTCCCAAGGAATATTTGGAAGAGGCTGTGGCACTCGTAGGAGCTTGGACAACCATTTCTAACTTAAGAGCCTTCATGGACTAGAAACAAATCCAATCACACAGTTACAGATGCAGGGAGCAAACAACAAAAATAGAACAATCAGAATTATTGTAATTAAGATAGCTTTCCACCCTGGGGAACTAGTTAACGTCTCCCAAAGTGAAGCAATTGAGGCTTCAGGAGTATCCATAGCCCCAGTCATCTTGTTCATGTGTTTAGTAAAATGAGTAACATTAGTGCTCATATCAGGTATATACGTATAGCATTGGGTATGAAGAATGGCACAAGTTCCTCCTTGTGCAGCTGTCAGAATATCTAAAGCCAATCTGTTTTGTAAAACCACCTTTCTAATTTGTGCTTGTTCAGTATTAAGAGCTGAAATAGCTTTTTGAGAATCTTGTAATGCCTGTTGAGTACAATTAGTCAAAGCATCCACTCGTAGCATAACATCTGTAGTTCCCAAAGAGGGATCAAACACTGCAGCCAAATAATCATACCAGTGAAATACAGACCTTGCCCACTGAGTTGTAAGGTGGGGTAAATTAGCAGGCTTCTCTGGAAGCTCTGAAAATATAAAGCCGTGAGTAAAGGCTAGACCTAGGGTGCATCTCCCTGTCCACCCAGGGGGAAGCCATGCCCAAAGGTAAGAGCCACATGTCCAATAAGTCCCGTTTGGAGCAAGCCAGCATGACTTAGATATCCAGTCCCAATCAGTGCCTGGCCAGACAAAGGGAGGACCTGAATTGGGGTTGCAAAACACGGGAATGATTACATTGCATATTTCCTGAGGCAAAAATCCCAAGGGTTTCCAATCACTATAATTTAAGTTGTTGACTAAATTCTGGGGATGGCTCTATTTGTTCCCAGCAAATAGGGGCAGTAGATATTAGACGCCCTTTTTCAGGAGTTAACCATATAACCTCATCCCATATTTGATAAACGTCAGGTAAAAAACCATGAGATTTAGACCTATTTGCCTTGTGTGTAGCAAAATAGTCATTGAACCGAGACAATGTATAATCAAAATTAAACGTCACATTATGTCCATAGGTAAAGAACAACGTGTTGCACCAGTCCATTATAGAGTTGTTAGATGTCATCAGTTTAAGACGAGGCATCATATATGATTGTTGTCGAAGGTATTCGCAGACTTGGAGAAAGTCTTTTCCTTGAAGTGGAGATGTCCACCATGGGAAGCCTTCCACTAATGAAGAGGGGAGCGCGCCACAAATCCAGCAGTTAGACTGATTGTGAAATGCTGCATAGGAGTGAGCCCAGGACAGGAAGGCGTTGTCTTGAGGATCAGACGGCAGACTCAGGATTTTTGGAGTCAGCATAAGTAGGCTCACATAGGTTATCAGGCCCATCTGAAAAGTACAAGGTCAGAGCATAGAAAGTAAAGACATAAAACGAAGTCACTTAGTTCTGGTCAGGGTGCCACCTCTTAACTCGAGTGTGATGTACCCATGAATCAATTCCTGGCACTCTGAGAGCTATGGGAGAAGAAAGAATAACCTGGTAAGGGCCTTCCCAGAGGGACTCTAGGGATGGGCCCCCAGACCCCAATGTTTTTATGAGGACCTTGGTTCCTGGCTCAAATAGAGGCTTGCTTGACTCAGAGGCTGGGTCAGGAGTCGTCTCCTGGTGTTCTGTTAATGCCAGTTGAAAAGCTGAGAGCTGAGTTACATAATTAGTTAATTCCAAGGCTTCAGGGTCTATAACAATGTCCGTGCATAAGAAAGGCCTTCCATGAATACATTCAAAGGGGGACAGTCCTTCCCTTCTGGGGGCAGTTTGAGCCCTCATTAGGACAGGAGACCCTCCAACTGGCCACCGTTCACCGTCTTCCAGTGGGCACTGCGGTCATGCAGTATCACATAGGAAGACCAGCTGTGTCTTCTTTAAGCCCTGGGGATCAAACCTATCCCAGTTTTTCAGGATACAGTTCAAAGGGGTGAAGCTGGAATTGTCAGCTCCCATCTATAAGAGAGAAAAAAAGCGACCAGCGCACTCTTTCTACTGGAGGCGTCCCTCCCTGCTCTAGATGGGGGTGTAGACAGACTTTACATCAAAGCTTTTCTTTCCTGGTTGGACTTAGTCTGTCCCTTACCGACGCAGGCAACATACTCGGCCCTCCAGGTTCTACCACCAAGACGGGGTGGAGATGCACCAGAGGTAGACCTGATGGCATCCCTGACTGACGTCCAGCTCCTCACCATTAAAACCTTGCTTACCTCTGATGCCACCCGGGGTTCGATCAGAGTAACCTTCCGGAATGCCTCCCAAGCTAAGACTGCTGGGGGAAACATTCTCGTCACCTGAGTGCCTGTGCATGACCCTGAGTATATTTCTGACCACAATAAGACCAATACGAGCATAAAACTGAGATGTTCCTTCCAGCGTCACCACACCATTATAAGAGCCTCCTCTGGTCCACTAACAGCCAGTGTTACCAAAGGGAAAAACCCCATTGCAGTTCCAATCTGAGTAACCTTTAACCTCAGAGATGCTCTTGGAGCCAGAGCTCCATCTAGCTTCCAAACTTTCCATGCCTAGCAAGGCTAGGCGCTTCCTGACTACCAATCCAAGTTTGGGACCTAAGTCATAGTACACAGTAACAGCATAGATCACAAGTCCCTTGAAAGTCTATGATCCGACAGATTGTTAGTACTTCTAATTCCAAGGAGTTAGGAGATGGTCAAAGAGACCGAAAAGTTTGACCGAGAAAGGAGAGTTCGGTCCACACGCTTTGCCCATTTCTGGTCGGTCCCCGAAGGAGACATTGGGTGCCTCTTGGCATTGGCAGGTCGGTATAAACCCCTGACAGGTTTCTGCCATAAGCCGTATGAGGTCGCCGTGGAACCGCAGAGAAGGGCTCCTCACTTGCTTCGCGCGGGGCGTGTCATTCATTCACAAGAGCACAATGTAGAGTTAGTGAAGTACAGCAGGAGACGTGTTCGCTAGGAGAACAAAGAACTAGAGCTCCATGCATCCTAACCTTGTCCTGAAGAATCCCGGACGAGCCCCCAAGATGAAAGGCTGTTGCTGAACTTCAGAAAAGACGCCAGGATTCTTGGCCTCCGAAGAAGAAGAATTCAATCCGGGGCCAGAGACGAGCCTTGATAGCTCAGAGCTTTGTGTAATAAATTTTATTCAAGTATAAAGGAGACAGAGAAAGCTTCTGACATAGGCATCAGAAGGGGACAGAAAGAGTACCCCATTGCTAGTGTTAGCAATGGAATTATGAACTAATTAGTTATTACATTGAATCAAAAGAATGTCTGGAGGTTGTAAACACCTCATTAGACCTACTCCCATAATTTACACCTTAAGATAACAGGATTAGCCAGAAGGTTTTTTCCAGAGACTGTCCTCAAGCAGGATACATTATTGTTATATAATCCTAAGGAATGTAGGGGCACAAAAAAGTTTGTCTTTTCTTCCTGCTTGAGAATTCCAGACTCCTCTCTCCTTGGGGACCCCTCGACTTCCTATCAACCTGCCTAAGAATTGATTCTCTCAGACTTACCCAGATGCTGGCCGAGGTGTCTCCATGTCCCCTCCATGTCTCCGTCCCCCCAGTAATTCTTTGGAGCAGAAAAACTCAGGCTGCAGAGGCTGGAGAAAGAAAGACACTTCTTTAAGGCAAAGGTGGCCTCCCCAGGGTGGTCTTCCCTCACCCTCCACTTCTGACTCACCCCCACGGCCTGGGTGAGCACCTGGCATGACGAGCTCAGCCTTCTTGATAAGGGTCCCAGGCAAGCTGGCCGCTGAAGGAATCTTCCAACCCTCTGCCTTCTCAAAAGAGGCCGGCATGGAGGAATGACCTCGCAGAGTCTGATCAAGCCAGGGGACCCCCGTGGGGCTGCCCCTAAGTCAACCCTATACCGAACGCCCAATTTGTTGCCAAAATCCGGCCTCCATACAGTGGTGCGGGATGAAACCTTTAAGGAAGAGTTGGGTGAAGTAGAAAGAAATTAGCTTTACTGTTTGGCCAGGCAAAGAGGACCACAGCAGGCAACGCCTTAAGCCTGTGTCCCAGCCTGGTGGTGGTACTGAGGCGTCTCACAGTGTTTACGGAGCCGTGGTCGGTGGTGAGGTAACGAAGAGGCAGCGTCATCAACCTTCTGGTTCCAAGTGGTCTGGGGTTGGCTTGCTTGTGGGCAACATACAGTTAACTTCCTCCACCTGGTAGGGGTTTCAGTATCTGCTAAACAGTTCACATATAAGGCACAGAACAATATCTATAGACCTTGAGGAAGAACTAAATAAAGGTCCTTGACTTTGTCTATTGGCTGAAGTATTATTAGTTTGGCTTGTTTGGCTGTTTTCCTTTTCTTTCTGCATTTTCTCACTTCTCTGATTAAATTCATGCTTGTAAAAAAATTTTTACTTTTTATTTTCCGGCCACATCCCACGGCAAGTAGGATTCTTGTTCCCCAACCAAAGATCAAACCTGCGTTCCCTGCAGTGGAAGTTCCGAGTCTTCACCCACTGGACCCCCAAGGAAGTCCCCAAATTTATTCTTTGATGAAAGTTTTTCTACAGACAAAAGGCAGGCGGAAGACTTGGCTGGGGTTTTTTTCTGGGAAAGCCTCATAGGGTCCTGCCCGCTCACCATCTGGCCCCTCCCCTGCTGTGCACCCGGCTGGAGTCTCAGTTAGCACAGAACCAGGCAGAAGACCACATGACCATTTCGTAATCCTTTACTTCCCCAGGGTCACGTCTATTCATTGCCAGGAAGGCAGAGTGCGCATGTTGCTTATAACAGCGAAAGTTCGATTTCTAAATGTTTGCCAGTGTTGGGGGAGATCGCAGTTTAGCGGCCAACACAGGAAGCCAAGCTGGTAATCTGTGTCTCCTGATCCTTGTTATCTTGTTAGTGATGTCTCCCCAGTTTTAAATCAGTCCTCTCTCTTAGACAGAGGAGTCGGTATTTATAATTAATAAGGATATCCAAACCTCTACTCTTAACTTCCCTCAATGATGCGGCGTCTTAAACAATAATATACGATGTCGTGTTCTAAGATTTCGCAACGATAGCATAGATTCCGAACAGATATATAAGAAGAAATTAAACCATAAGGACTTCTGCTGGTTCGCGACCAAACATCTTTTTAAAGATGCATATGATATTGTTTTCTGAACAATTCACGTTTAACTGGTTGCTATCTTGTGTAGTACAAATATCAGCATCCCTTGGACTGGACAACCCAACTGTTCAAGGGTTTCAGGGCTTGTTTCGTTCCATACATCATTAATTTATCTATAAAAAACCCATGGAAAATATATATTATGCATAGAAACATACGCGTCTGACTGTAACCCCATAGACTATGTAGCCCATTAGGTTCCTCTGTCCATGTTATTTTCCAGGCAAGAATACTGGAGTGGGTTGTCATTTCCTACTCCAGGGGATCTTTGTGACCCAGAGATTCAACCTGCATCCTTGCATCTCCTGCATTGGCAGGCGGATTCTTTACTGCCGTGTCACCTGGGAAACCCCATATTATAAATGTATTTTTTATTATGCATATTATTATAATATATATCAAACACTGGTATGTATCTGGTACATGTAGTTTGCTTTGACTTTCATTTTCTTTTCCATTGAGAGTTTTGTTCTTTTTATTACTTAAAATTTGTTTTCCCTAGGGGTATAGTTGATTTACAATGTTGTGTTAGCTTCAGGAATACAGCAAAGTGAGTCAGTTATACATATATCCTCTCTTCTCTAGATTCTTCTTCCATATAGGTCATCACAGAGTACTGAGTAGAGCTCCCGAGCTACAGAAAGCCGTTATTCCTCGTCTATTTTATACACAACCTCAGGCTTCCAATTCATCCCTCCCCACTTTACCCCAGGTAACCATACGATTGCTTTCTACATCTGTAATTTTGTTTGTTTTGTAGATAAGTTCATCTGTACCCTTTTTTCATTTCTCAGTTGGTGTGTTTTAGTTACTTTTGGTTAGATAAAATGAAAGACTAAACATAATCTATTAAGTGGGAGAAAACAGCGGCAAATAACTATATGATATCACTTACATGAGGAATCTAACAAAATACCACAAACTAGTATATGTAACAAAAAAGAAGCAGATTCCTGGATATATTGAAGTAAAGAGGGGTTTCCAGTGGGGGAGGTGGCTAAGCATAGTGGAGAAGGAGTGGGAGGAACAAACCACCGGAGTAAGACAGGCAGGAAGATGAACTATACAATACGGGGAATATAGCCACTATTTTGTAATAACTGTAAATGGAAAGTAACCTTTAATCATTCAGTGCACTTCAGTTGCTCTGTCGTGTCCAACTCTTTGCGACCCCATGGACTGCAGCAGGCCAGGCTTCCCTGTCCATCAGCATTTATAAACAATGAAATAAACGTTACATCAGATTTTTTTTTAAAGGGAGTTGAGTCTGGGGGAGCCGGGAAAGGGGGGAAGTGAGGGAGGCCCAAGGAGGAGGTCTTGCGGTGGGACCAGAGCGTGGGGCTGGAGGGCAGGGTTTCCAGGCTCCCGCTGGGACCCGCCTGGGAAAGGCAGCGCTGCTCTGAGCCGGGCAGGGCGTCCAGCATCTGGGGAAGCCCTGGCGGAAAGGGGATGTCCAGCTCTGGGCTTCAAATATCCTCCGTGAGTTTTCAAAGTGCTGAGATGTGTGAGGAAGTGCAACTGAGACCACAGTGGCGGCTGAAGAGGAGCCAGAGCCAAGGCGAGGAGGGGAGCGCGGGCAGAAGCATCCAGAACAGGAGGGCACAGGATGAGTGACAACGACGAAGACTGGTAGGCAGAGCCCAGAAGGATCTAGAAAAGCCCGGAAGCGGCTCTAGGGGGCAGGGCATGAAGAGCGGGTTCCTGCCTTCCGGGAAGGGAAGGGAAAGCGGGGTGAGGGCGGGGCCGCTTGTGCAGTTTCATTTCTCGAGGCAAGAAGAGGCCTCAGTCACAACTTCCGCTGTTGGAACCGCCAGCCTCCAGGCCCCCCCCTTGGGAAGCACAGCGCTTGTTGGGGTCCACACCGTCCACACTTCCCCTCCCAGAACGCTCCTTACACTTTGAGGGCTCCGCGGTGGCGTGGAGCTTCTCCTTCCCTCTGTTCTCACCCATTTCTCTCCCTTTCCCGGATCCCCACGCATCCCTGACTCCTCTCAAGGCCCCACGGCTCCTCGCCCTCCCCTCAGGTCGGGATCAGCCCGCCCCAAACTCCCAGGTCGGCACCCACAGGGCACATGGCCATTAAAGGTTCGTTTGGCACCACCACCCCCCCCCCCCACCGTTGACCAGACCCCCAGTTAGAGTGGGCAACTTCCTGGCCAGCCAGGCACCCTTCCCCAGCAGACTGGGTGACCCTGCTGCGTAAGAGCATCCAGTCCAGGACATGACGGAAAAACCATTCCTCCAGGGAGAGGAAGCCCAGAAGCCCTTTTGTAACCTCTGCCCAGCAGTAACGGAATAAAGCCTGTGTTTCTCCAAGCGGGGAAACAAAATGAAAAGCCCCCTCCCCCCACAAAGAAAAAAAGAAACCCAAACACAGTTCACAAAGATAGTATAGACCCCAAGTGGATATAGAAATAGAAATCAAGCCACAATCACTTCTGTTGGTTGGTTACCCATCTCTTCAAATATATATATGCTCTTATTTTTAAAAAATTTCACGTCCAGCCAGTTGTATGCCACCGAAGCTATCTTGCATAGTAAAAATATCAGTATCGCTTTGGTAGGGTATGGGATCAACCAATTTAAGGCTCTCAGGTCTTGCTCCATTCCACATGTTGTTAAAATATCATTTATAAATTTCGTTACCTTCTGTGTGAGAAGTTCAGCCAACACCTGCGCTGGAACTTCCAAGACCTTGTCCATGATCAGCGAAACAAGTGAGGACATGGAGAAAGCTCGAGTTGTGAGTGTTCCTCTGGGACTGAACCCTGAATTTATAGCGTGGGAGGGGCCATTCTACAGAGGAAGTGTTTTGGCCAATGAGCAGGTGATACGTAACAGGGCATCACTTGATGTATAAGGTTACTTTCCCTTTCACTTGTTTGATGGCCAAAATGTTGGATCGTAAAAATTCTCTTAAAAAATTTAAGACAATGATCAGATGCTCTGGGAAACTATATCAGACCCTTTGGAAACAGAGGTGGCAGTGAGGAATGATAAGAAAGCTTAGGGTTCTGACCCGGGGTGAGGTGAGTGACTATAAGATGCCAAAGCACCGTCAGGGTTTCACTGTCACTGAGAGAAAGGATGCTCTCCAGACCCAGCCCAGGGGCGGGGTTTTCAGAGAAGAGCTCCATGTAGTACCTCTTAGAGTCTCGGAATCAAGGCCTTGGTGTGGGAGATCTGCGGGTTGAGGGTGTGTTTGTGTGTGAATATGTATCCATATATGTCCATTTGTGTGTATGTATGTAGGTATGTGCCTACATACGTGTGTGTACACGTGTGTGTGTCTGTGTATCTGTGTGATTGTATCTGTGTGTGTGTGTGTCTGTGTTTCTATGTTTTGCATCTGTTTGTAAAGGGAGTCAGCGACATGCAGCACAAGTCTCCTGGCACACAGGAGTCCCCTTTGGGTGGAGAAAGGGTCCAGGAAAGCAGCTGGAGAAGGAGACTGGAATCCTTTGGGGCTAGAAAGGCAGAGTTTGAGCAGGAGTGGGGCATGTCAGGACCCCGGAGGAGACAAGTCTCCTGCTGATGAGGGCACAGGCGATTCAAACCAGGAAGGACAGGAGGAGTGGGGGTAGGGGCCAGAATAGGGTTCCTGGACTCCAACCCTGGGAGTGTGCGTGGGTGAAACTAACTGAGGCCACTCGGAGGCTGAAAAGGATCCAGGCCCCAGGGAGCGGAGGGCATAGTGGGCAGAAGAATCCAGAATCCAAGGAGTGGGAAGGGGAGGAAATGGGGGATGGGGCAGGCCTAGGAGTGTGGGGGGCCCAGAATGATCCTGACGAGGGACGAGTTTAGCGGGCAGGGGACGAAGAGGAAGTTGCTGTCCTGGGGGATGGGAGGGGAAATCGGGGTGAGGAGTGACTCTGCAGAGATGGGATTACTTGTCTAGTTTCTGCTTTTCAGGCAAAAAGAGGCCTCAGGCGCATCCAGCCTTTGGAACCGCCAGCCTCCCTTGGGAAGCTCAGAGCTCTTTGGAGTCCGCACCATCCACTCGCCTCCCTCCTGGGGACGGGCCTTACACTGGGAGGGTTCCGCTGTGGCGCAGAGCTTCTCCTTCCCTCTGTTCTGACCCTATTCTATCCCTTGACGACTGGCTCCGGGGCCCTGTGCGCCCCTACTGCTCTCAAGGCCGCCCTGGGGCTCTGGTCCCTCTGCTCATATGGGGAACCTGCCTCCCAAGCTCCCAAGTCTGCGCTGTTCAAGCAGTCTGAGTGGGGGTTGGAAAAGCATTTCCAGACCCAGGGCATTTCAGGAGGGAGTGAGTTTATTAAAAACTACGAGCAGAGAGAGAGTGGGCACTGCGAGCCCAGCTGGCTGACAACTGCTGACAGGCCAGGGAGAGTCCGCAGTGTTCATGAGTTAATAGCCAACTTTTGTAGCCTTTAAACAAAGAAAATTCCTGCTGGGAGGGTGGCATTAGGTGATTGGTGGGGACGCTATAGGGTGTTTACTGGAGTGGGCATCTGTGCCTAATTAGGAGTCAGGCAGCTTTTTAGTTACTATTAGGGGGCTTTTGGCAACAGTTAGAAAGTGGGACAGTCAGCTTTCAAGGTGACCTTGGTTCTGGGCTCTGCTTCTGTGGCCTTGGTGCAAGACCTCACACCTGTGGCCTGGGGCAGGATTCTGTGTTCCCCCTTCTTCTTATTAATGGGTGAAATCTTTGGCCCCTTTACACCCGCCGCTCATGTCTAACTCCCTGCCTATCCTCTCTTGGGACGTGTGGACCCACGTCATTGGGGAAAGGGGCAGAAACTGCTCTGGCTTCTTCCTGCTGGACAGGAGGGTCGTGGGGTCCTGGGTCCCAATGCCCACACTCTGTCAGGGTGCATTTTTGGAGGGAGCTGAGAGTCTATGGAATGAGAAAACCGCTTGTTCTGGCGTAGTCCGTATGTCAACCTCTCAACAAGCTGGTATCCTTGTTGCATAAGGATCTGGAGATGTTATTTGTTTTCTAGAAGAAACAAACTTGACAAGAAGGTTACAGATACATGGTCTGAAGATTAATAGAAGTAGAAAAACTGCCAAGGGACCTAAAAGTGGGGCTAGTCAGGAGCTCTAGGGCCAGACACTGGTCTGTGATGTTGGTGCTTCTCTAGGTATGAGAAGATGCAAGAATTGGGGTTCATGGAAATCTTTATTTGAAAATGCCTAACTATCTGAAGGCTTGTCCTGCCAGTTTTTGTTAGAGCACAGAAGGCCTCATTCGTGATTTCTACGCTGAATTCCTTTCTGCGGGTGTAGAAGGTCCGCAGCTCTAGTGGCTCCTGATTTCATCTTTGTAGAGGCAGATGGCAAGTGCCGGTTTCCAGTTGCAGACTCCAATCATGGCCATAGATTTGACCATGGTTTCAGGGGCATATTGTGATCATTTTATCCCATGATGTTAGGAATGCTCGTTCCCAGGTCGTGAAGATATATTAGGAATGCTAGTTCCCAGGTCTAACGAAGATGTTTTGATTGTCCACTCAATGCGCTGTTACTGGACTAGGCTACGAAAGTAGTAATAGTCCTGGATCATATCTGCCTTACCAGTAGTCTCTTATAGTCCATGAAAATATTCCATCTTTTTGTTTCTTCTCATATGTAGAGTTACATTATGATAATCATTGATCTCATATGGAACTATATATCATCATTTCATTAGAGACTCAGTCACACAATTGGTAATGTAAGAGACAACAATTCTGTAAAATAGGCAATATAGAAAGCAATATAGCTAGCAGTAATAGTAACATCACAAGTAAGAATTTAAGTACTTTTATTAGGTGTAGCCCAGTATTTACCTTGTTGTCTGACTTAGTTTGTTGAATGACTGTAATCTGGTGTTAATCTTCTGGTTGTAGATCATGGAGCATCTGATCTTTATCCAAAGACTGATTATGAAGTTAGTGTTCAGAAACAAACTTAGAATGTCCTCTTATTAACTTAATTAAATTTTATAACAACAAATAATTATCTCAGAAGTGAATCTTAGTAAACACTAACCTTAATTAACAAAACTAGGATTTAATATTCGGTGAGACAAATTTGTTCCTACCATTATCCTCATTTTTGTTAAACACAGCCAAGACTAATTTGTTTTTAATATGTTTGGTCCATTGACTATAGATGTCATAGGTCTGTCATCGGTTTTTGTTGAGGTGGATTTTTTCTTCTAGAGGTCCCCACTATACTTTGAGATTTCTTTGAGACAGTCTTTTTGTTTACCTGATAACGTTGTTCCGGATGTCTGGCCCTAAGTGAGTGATCACACCATCGTGGTTATCTGAGTCATGAAGATCTTTTTTGTACAGTTCTTCTGTGTATTGTTGCCACCTCCTCTTAATATCGTCTGCATCTGTTAGGTCCATACCATTTCTGTCCTTTATTGTGCCCATCTTTGCATGACATGTTCCCTTGGTATATCTAATTTTCTTGAAGAGATCTCTAGTCTTTCCCATTCTATTGTTTTCCTCTATTTCTTTGCATTGATCACTGAAGAAGGCTTTCTTATCTCACCTTGCTATTCTTCGGAACTCTGCATTCAAATGGGTATATCTTCATGACCCAGATAACCATGATGCTGTGATCACTCACCTAGAGCCAGACATCTTGGAATGCGAAGTCAAGTGGACCTTAGGAAGCATCACTACAAACAAAGCTAGTGGAGGTGATAGAATTCCAGTTAAGCTATTTCAAATCTTAAAAGATTATGCTGTGAAAGTGCTCTACTCAATATGCCAGCAAATTTCAAAAACCCAGCAGTAACCACAGGACTGGAAAAGGTCAGTTTTCATTCCAACTCCAAAGAAAGGCAATGCCAAAGGTTGTTCAAACTAGCGCACCATTGCACTCATCTCAATCGCTAGTAAAGTCATGATCAAAATTCTCCAAGCCAGGCTTCAACATACGTGAACCAAGAACTTCCATATGTTGATGCTGGATTTAGAAAAGGCAGAGGAACCAGAGATCAAATTGCCAACATCCGTTGAATCATTGAAAAAGTAGAGAGTTCCAGAAAAACATCTACTTCTGCTTTATTGGCTATGCCAAAGCCTTTGACTGTGTGGATCACAGCAAACTGTGGAAAATTCTTAAAGAGATGGGCATACCAGACCACCTTACCTGCCTCCTGAGAAATCCGTATGCAGGTCAAGAAGCAGCAGTTAGAACCGGACGTGGAACAACAGACTGGTTCCAACTTGGGCAAGGAGCCTGGCGTGCTGTAGCCCACGGGGTTGCAGAGTCAGACACGACTGAGCAACTGAACTGAACTGATTAACTTAATAGGGAATATTTCCCAGTTTACATGAGCCTGGAATTCATTTAGTTTAATTTTTCTTGAATTCAGAATCACTTGATTTATAAGCGCTTACTTTTGTGCTGTGTCTGACTCTTCGAAACCCCATGGACACCAGGCTCCTCTGCCCATGGAATTCTCCAGGCAAGAATACTGGAGTGGGTAGCCATTCCCGTCTCCAGGGGATCTTCCCAACCCAGGGATTGAACTTGGGTCTCCTGCATTACGGGCAGATTCTTTACCGTCTGAGCCACCAGAGAAGCCCTACTTTTCTTCAGGCCAATTAAATAGAGCTCATTAACAAATGAACCTCAACAATATCCTCCAAATCAAAGACACACACTGAGGCATGCATATATCTGGACAGACAGAGATCTCATAGTTTTCCACTTGAGATTTAAAATGTCTCTTTGTCCCTTACTTTCCCTTGGCTTGAAGT